TCCGAAAAGGTTCAATTAAAAATTGGTCATGTTCGTCAGAGACATAATCGTCTTCAGAGTCGTCGGAAACATCATAATGACTATCTCCATCATCGCTTGTAAAGTCATCTATTGCAAGTTTCTTGGACAAATTGAGTCTTTTAGCAGGAACCCGAAAAGGTCCAATTAAAAATTGGTTATATATGTTAGAGATATAATCGTCTTCAGAGTCGTTGGAAACATCATAATAACTATCTCCATCATCTCTTGTAAAATCATTTATTGCATGTTCTTTGGAAAAATTGGGTTTTTCATCAAAAACCGGGTAAAAAAGTTTAGATAAAAATTTGAAACGTTTGTCAGAATTATGATTCTTTTCAAAATCCTTAGAAACATCATAGTGTCTGTCTTTATCATCCCTTATCAAATCATCCATTGTATGTTTCTCGGAAGAAATGAGCTCTTCATCAGAAGTCCGGTGAAAACGTCGAGATGAAAATATGTCATGTTTGTTAAAAATATTATCTTCTTCAGAATCCTTGAAAACATCATAGTGATTACCTGTGTCATCCCTTATTAAATTATTTATTGCATTTTTATCGAAAAAAGTGAGTTCTCTATCAGAAACCAAAGGAATACCATCAGATGAAAATTTATTATATTTGTCAAAGACATAATCATCTTCAGAGTCGTCGGAAACATCATAATGACTATCTCCATCATCGCTTGTAAAGTCATCTATTGCAAGTTTCTTGGACAAATTGAGTCTTTTAGCAGGAACCCGAAAAGGTCCAATTAAAAATTGGTTATATATGTTAGAGATATAATCGTCTTCAGAGTCGTTGGAAACATCATAATAACTATCTCCATCATCTCTTGTAAAATCATTTATTGCATGTTCTTTGGAAAAATTGGGTTTTTCATCAAAAACCGGGTAAAAAAGTTTAGATAAAAATTTGAAACGTTTGTCAGAATCATGATTCTTTTCAAAATCCTTAGAAACATCATAGTGTCTGTCTTTATCATCCCTTATCAAGTCATCCATTGTATGTTTCTCGGAAGAAATGAGCTCTTCATCAGAATTCCGATGATGTAAAATTACTTTAATTTTAAAAGGATTATGTGTTGGATCTATGTCGTTCTTATATTCTTTGGAATTTTCTGAAGTCGATGTCATTGTAGCAGAGTCAAGATCTAATATACTGTTAGAATTTTGTAATGAACGTGGATTATCTTGCAGTTGCTTATGTTCATTAATTTTTTTGTTTGCATGCTTTGGCCTGTCTAAGGAAATTTTTATTAATTTTTTAAGAAAATTTGGATGACTATTAACATCGATTATTTGCATTACGTCGGATACACCTATTTCATTTTTCTTGTCCCATGTTAATGCGGAGTTTTTAATAAATTTTGTATCCTCCAGAGGACGATTTATCTCATTGAAAGTATCAGAGTCAACAAATGCCGTAGTTATTGGTCGTTCTTCGATTTTTGGCACATATGTCTCGATAGTATACTTTTTCTTATAATTTTCATAACAAATGTACAAAGTGTACAATATAGCAAACAATATAATCCATACACAAATTTTATTTAGTAGATTATATACTCGGTACTTCTTTTCTAGATGCTTATCGTTCTCTGAATCATTCTTCGCGCTTAGGAGTTTGTCTGTATCTGTGTAAATATATAAAAAGAAAAAGAGAAGGAGAGACTATCTTTTAATTATTATAATAATAAAGACAAGTAAACAAATAATACATCCAATTAATGACACAAATTGACCATATCAAATCAAAACAAAAAACTTTTATAAAAAGAAAATAAATTACAAGAAGAGAGGAAAGGCCGCGATAATTATTTCTGTCATGAGAAATATAAAGAAACAATGTTTGCATATCACGCATGTAGTTGTTATATAGATGTGATAAAATACTTTCAAATTACATTTTAAACAATGTTCCGACAACTTTTTGAAACGTAAGTAGTTGTCGTTCTTTTACACTCGAAAGTATAAAAAGACAAAAAATACAACGTGGTATTCACCTTCTGAGATTTCCTTCTGCTTCTTCATGTTGCACAATTGATAGGCACTGATCTCGCTAGAATGCAATCTTTGAGCGTCTGTTCAGTGGTAAGAATTAACTTCGACTGTGGGGAAAGTTAAGTTTGTCCCACAAGTTAATAAAAAGAAAAAAGTGTTGTAAAAATTTCCTCCTCCCTTCTATTGCGTCTCTTGATAGGAGAAAGACGCGCTTCCAATCATCGTATATAATGAATTAACCATTATAGTAATTGCTTTGGTATCGATTAAAACTCATCGATTATCGGCTATTGTATGCCGGAAATAGTATATTTTTGAAAATAAATCTTAATGTTAGACATTAAGTTAATTAATGTTATATCAATCTTCATCTAACGTTATCTCAACTTTAAGAAATTTGACGACAGATGGATTGAATCCATTATTTTCGAAGCTTATTACAGCTAAAAACAATGAATCTGACGTAAGTTATAGAATACACTAACAAGTAAACCTACCCAAAAGGTACACTTCGATTTCTTTCTAATTTCGCACAAATGTAGAAGTACAAAAAATATTTAAGTCATATTTTTTTTCATTTTGACCCATTTAGAATTCCACGGGCAGTTTATAGTTTTTTATATTTCGGTTGGAATCTCGGCTAAAGAAATTTAGAATGGTTCGTGTCTCAGCCATTCCGATTTTGTTAAAATTATTTAACTATATCTTGTATTCAATTTTATTTCTTATGCATTTTTGTTGCACTTGTTGATGATAAGAGTGAGAATTAAAAAGCTAACATTAAACTGCCCGTAAAACTCAAAGTAGATCAATGAAAAAATATGACCTAAATATTTGTTGTACTTCTACATTTATGCCAAATTAGAAAAAAATCGGAATGTACCTTTTGAGTAGGTTTACTTGTAAGATAATCGCAAAATTAAGATAATTGTCTTTCTCGTTTTTCCTTTCACCGAGTATGTTAATCGTGAGATTCATTGTAATATGCGATTCAGTCACACTTTCAAGAGACTCGAACGAACAAGATTCTAATTGCGTAGAATTTAATTAAAACGATTCCATCTATGTATTTACTTCCATAATTGATTCGACTCGACTAAAAAGCATATCACACTCGTGGAATAATTATTCGAAAGTACACTGGGAGAATCAATTGTTCTTTCTGAAATTTTCTTCATGAATATCTTATTCCTACTCGTTACTTCTCCATCTTGTGCAAAATTATCGATACCAGAAATACTTATATCATCCCCGGAGATTATTCTTATGTGATAACAACGCAGGTGTTCAAATCTATTTGATATCGCATGGCAGGGCCGGTCGTATAGATTATAGAACCAAATACGAAACTGAGCGCATGCAACAGAAAAAATGTTATAATGTGCGGAAATTATTTTAACACGTTTTTTCTTTTATGAAATTATTAGTGTATCTTATTGAAATGTGCAGTATAATAAAAACTCTACCGTACAAGAATATAAAAACATGTTTTACACAATAATATCAAGAATATCTACAGGATTAAAATTTACAAAAACGCATAAATAAAGCATAAGAGGTGAAATAAAAATTTTTCCAAAAATTATATATGATAAATACGATAAATATGATACGGGAAATGGTCGATGGTTGTTTTCGACGATATGACAATTTTTACGTTCGAAATAGCGCCCTTCACACTTCGCCTAGCACCAGCACTGCTTTTAGATTTGATAAAAGAACGTGAACATCATTGTCAAAAACAATCAGTGTAACTTGTAAGTCACGAAGATGCAGCTAATCCGGCAAGTTGTATACGTTCTACTATATCTACATTTCTCCTCTCGTGATGGTAGGAATATATTTCATAAGTGAAAAATAAATTAACTTTATATACACGCTTATATATTCTGAAGTCTTTTATCATCGTAATTAAGAATAGTATTAAGAATAGATTAATATAAATTATACTTTGGAGTCTTTTATCATCGTAAGAATAGATTAGTACAAATCATCGTTTAACGTAAGAGGTGGAAAACTCACATTAAGGCGGATAATCAAATGTTTTAGTTTCCACGCACGACATTGACATGTTATCAGAAGAATATATGAGCGGTACAAATGATTTCACAACAATCAGTAACTGGAAATGTGAGTCCGATAATGAATGTACAGTGACGAACAGTACGTGCAGGGATAATGAGTGTCAGTGCGCACCTGGATACATCTATAATTCCAACATGACATCATGTGTCAGAGGTAACGTTTTCCTTGAGCTTTCTCTGTTACTTTCCGTGCTTGGTCATAATTGATTTGACACGAATGAAGAGATTTCTATTGTATGGATTACTCTCAGTTGCTACCGGCCTGCTTGATCCGTGCGAGGACTCGTTCCAGTGCTCGGCTTATCTTTCCAATGGCGGTGAATGCGTTGACAATATTTGCGTATGCGGCCCCGGCTATTACTACCTACACGGTAGATGCAATCAATACGTAGGTGCGTGATATCTTTCATATTCTGTATCTGAAATTCTTTCATTTTGCTAACAATGATAAGAACTCGACATTATGTGTCGCGACGTGCAGGCCTGTTCGAGAAGTGCAAAGAAAATATCGACTGCTACGTGAATGCCGATTTCGAGGCGAGCACTTGCAATGCAACGGAGAAAATTTGCGAGTGTAGCCCCGGCTTTTATCAGCGCGAGTATCGCACTTGTCGACGAGAGGGAAAAGGTACATGGCCACAATGTGTTCGTATAATACATAGATTTAGAATGTAATATGTTGCTGCTTGTTAATGCTTATTGTTAATGCTCAAATGTTAATGCTTATTTAACGATTATTTAATGACAGCCGTCGGTAACGAATGCACGATAGACATCGATTGTACTTTCAAGAATGCGATCTGCAAGGATTTCGTTTGCGTTGAAAAATCCGAATCCAAGGAAACTAATGAATTTTCGAGCGATATCGTATTGACAGCTGATTCAAACGAGTCCACAGGCGAGCGTTAGTATAAGAATTATAAGAATTATAAACGCACGTAACGTATATCTTTACTTGTAAGTCGAAAAGGCTAAGAGTACATACATATGATCTAATTAGAAATTCGAGTGGGCAGCAATTGCACGAGCGACGAGGACTGTAGTGAACTGGGAAACGCCGTATGTGATCTTACTGGGGCATGCCGTTGTGTCCGCACGTATTTCGCACCTGACGCGGACGCCAAGTGTATACCAGGTAAAATTAGCGACGCAAATGTGTCTGCGAGCGACAATATGCAACCGACTATTTATGTTTACAGAGCTGGGAGAATCCTGTCGCAGCGACGACGTAGGTAGCATAGAGAAATCCATCTGCCGAGCAGGTATATGGAGTTGCACGAATGGCACGGTCGCATCCAGAGATAATCACGAGTGCCGCAAGGGTGAGTGAGCGTGTTTCCAGCAAAGATGGAAATTCGTGCGTTTGCGACAAGATCGCTTCTCAATATAGACACGGAAGAAACACTAAGGATATTACTTGCTTAAATATGATTGGCACAACGAAATATGGTACCACAAGATGATTGTAATAACCGTAGTACTCTTCTTTGCTGCCTGTCCATACGTATTTGAACGGTATTCTCAATGCTGTAACTAAATCTAGTATTTAGCAGACCGCAACAAAAAGACCGCAATATTCCTTCGGTTGAGGCAATCATATATAAGGATATACTAATTGAACATTACGTATCATAAGAATTGTAACTGTGAGAACTGTATCGATGGGCATGTAACAGCAACAACTTTTAAGCCAATATCCATTTAACTTGAAATCATATAAATTTTCCTCTAACCATAGAGAATATGGACGTAATAACTAATAGCAGTTTCCTTCGTGGACAAAAAGTATCAAAACGTAAAGCTCAGCTTTAAACGCGTAGCTTTAAACGCGCTGCAGTTTTGTAACGCGATTTTCACTTTTTAATTTAACATTTATTAAAATCTTGTCAGCGACCACGGAATACAATGGACAATGTTACGAGAAGGAGGATTGTTACATCTTCGGCCCGGACGCCGAGTGCAACGAAAATCAGTGCGTATGCAACGCGACTTATTCTCACTATGTGGAAAGCGAGCTCTTTTGCTGGGGAAACAGGGGGATCGACGAGACTTGTATCCAGAACTACGACTGCTACGTCGAAGGTTTCGTGAACGAGTTGCTCTGCAAAGACAATAAATGCGGCTGTCCCGATGACACGCACATGAACAAGAACGAGACAGCCTGTATTAAAAACGTGGCAGGTTAATAATTGTCTCATTCGTAATTTGACAATGTTCATCACTCGCCGAAGATTAAACGAGATTCTTTCCATTAAATTACAGGAATCGGGGACATTTGCGAAGTAAACGAGGACTGTAAGACAACAAACACGATTTGCAATGAAAATGTGTGCGATTGTCAAGAAAATTATTATCCGTCAAAAAAACGTGAAGAGTGTTTGGCAGGTAATCGGCAATCGCGTCGTGGAAACGTTAAGTTTTTAAAAGAAAAGTAAATTATAGAAAATATATGTGTATATGTGCGTATGTGTAAATATAGAAATGTAGAATTTTCAGAAAAAGGCTTTAATATAACTGCTGTATTTCAGGTCTCAATTCCACCTGCGAGATGGACAAACAATGCATACCGGCAGACTCCGTGTGCATTTCAAAAGTATGTTCTTGTAAACAGGACTACGTGCCCGTATCTATTGATACGTGTCTACCAAGTAAGGATTTGTGTCTTTCTCCGTGTTCCTGAAAGCAGTATTGCAAAAATTTCACGCTTATAAAATTTTTTAAAAATACAGTAATCTCAAAAGTATATTTTAAAAATATATTTGTAAAGAATCTCTTTTTTTAACGTGTTTTTTTCTAGCATTGCCGTATGGTGAGTCTTGTTCGCAAAATATTCAATGTTCTGTCATCGTACCGGGTGCGATCTGTGCGGCTGTCAAACAAGACAGTGGAAATAAGATTTGTACTTGCGACGAAAAGGACCACTATAGATTCGGGAGATGTTTTAAGAAGAAAAGTAGGATATGATAATTCATCATCATGTTTATTCATCAAATCGATTCTTTCGCAAAAATTATGTTATTAATGTTCGCATGCTGTTGCAGTGCTCAGCGAGACTTGCACGAATATCGGCGAGTGTTACTTAAATTTCAACGCGGATACAGTGATGTGTATGAACGGGGAATGCACGTGCAATTGGGGCTACATGAAATGGAACAATAGTGTCTGCTTGAAAGATAAGCGAACCCTACATTTTCTCAACGGTGAGTTAGCCTTGACTCGCGTGTCAGTCGATCGACAAATTCCGCCGCATTTTATTTCCGCCTACGTAACAGCAAGGGCACGCTACAACAGGCGAATTTTCTCCGGGCGCACTCGCGCGCGCGCGCGCGTGAAATCCTTTTATGTGGCGCAATAATGTGCTTGCAATTATGAGCCGCGAACTCGCATGTCCGCCCAAGAATTGTGTTGCAATTTTTGCGATTACAAGCGTCGATAAGGCTCGCCTACAACGACGCGACCCATCTGGAACAGACCTGTTGTATGTATTCATAGAAAGCAGCACCTTGCCGAATACTAATACTTGTCGACTGCACAATCTCGATATGGAGGAAACTTACCACGAATTCTGACACGAGTTCCGTGTAAAGACTAACAACGATAAAAATTTCCAACCTCTCACTTATCGTCTGACCACGAAACGAACGCTATATTTTTTTTTCCCATGGATGTTCAAGTACATCCCGAAATACTAAAGATAAAAAATGTGATTATGAAAATAAATAAATACTAAGATATAATACATTTTATTTTCCAGATGGTGTCATCAAAATGATGTCCACAGGATTACTTCTGGTCATGCTCCTCCTTACCTCTTGTGATATTTTTTAAATTTTGCAATATATTCGTTCCAACATAAAAGATATTCTATAATAAGAAAAAATATGGTCACAAATTTCTATGACGTCAAGCATAATGTTATTGTTTTTATTACTCGTAAATAAATTTATTTAATTTCTTTATAATGTATATAATATATATAACATACACTTAAAAATTTACAATATAATATAACATACTTTAATGAACTTGTTGTATTCGACGAATTTGTTAAGGAAATCAGTTTGTATAAAAAGGAAAATAAGATTTTAAATTAAAGAACATCAAAAGAAATTAAAGGAGCATTAAGGATGACGCGAGAGATATCATTTTTGCACAATATAATCGATCGAGGCACTTCGACCGTATTTTCTAGTTCATAAATTAGGACCACGATAATTCGTGGCTATGTCCATTCGCGGTTGAGTTATAGCATACTTGACGCACTCACGCGCTTACGATTATGGGCAGACGAAAAGTGGGACTATATGCGAGCGGCGTGTGATTTGAATACCGCCATTTCCGACCGGAGAGATTGATTAAAGAAAAACTGCGTACTTAGGTCTCCACCGAGCGTGATAAGAGGGCCGAATAGTCGACACGCGAGCCACGCGTTGACTGTACTCATTGCGGCTACGTTTCCACTGAGCGAGCAATGCTCTTAAGGCGAGTTTTCGATGACGTCGTCGAGGTATTCGAGGCACGGTGACGTCATATAACGAAGGGAAGAGAGAGGTCAAGGCACGTACTACTCGTGTATGTATCCTTCACACGATCGACCAAACGAAGCGTGGCGTTCTTATCGCACTATCTTAGGCATCGCACCATAAAAGGCAATAAACTGTTTATTGCCGGAGTATCGCGAACACGAGACGAATTTGCGATACTTTACTAACCTCCTCAGTATTAGTGAATTTAATGAGATTAAAGGTAAGCCATACCAAGAATATTTAACGCCTAGATTGAGGTGGAAACACTGCGAGAATTTCACAAGAATATTCAACTTTGATTTATCACGCCTTGATTTTCACCTTTGCTCTCAAGATAAACTGCGACTTATCTTATAAAAAGAATCCTTTTTCTTCTCAAAATCTCACACGTCTCACACTCGTATGTGTTGCTCGGCTATTGTTTTTCTTTTCCTCACTGCGTGCGAGCTCGCCTGTTTGGTCAAGTGCTCGAAATTGGATATTGGACTCCTGATCTAATCGTGTCTCGCGTTTTCAGCTCCGATACGCGTTCAAGAACGTTCTCACCACGAGCACGTTCCGTGTGTAATTTGTCCAATCTCTGAGCGTCAATCTCAATTTACGGGTCCCATCTACGTGTCATCAAGCACTACATCATCGAGCGGTCATAGCGCGGTCGTACATTTCGCTCCTGAAAGCTTTCGAGTCGCGCAGCCTAGGCTAATTTCTGTGGTCTATTCAATGTCGCTGTATGTAGTTACGCCGATCTCGCCCCGCTGTAGAAATGGAGCCTCATTATATTGACATTATTAGGAATTAACGTCCTTCTATCAGGAATCTCTAGATCGACGATTACCAGCAAAGGTGAGGTTCTCGCGCCACGGGTGACTCGCTGACCAACACGAAGCACGCTCTACCCGATGGAAATCAACTGAGAGTTGACACTTAACACCCCTAATTTGTCCGTGTATGACGAAAGCTATTAGCCGAATGAAAATGTCACGGACAAAATTAGATCACGGAATGTGGATTTCAGACGATTGTGCGCGCGCATAGCCATCGGAGTGTTCCGCGAGTGATGACGTAAAGGGTACATCCACACACGCTCGGAACAGGGAAACCCAATTAGTTATATAATTGTTGCCGGGGATTGTGTTAATCGATCATGGCTGCCACGGACAAAGGCAGCAATCGCGTAGACTCGACGTGAAACCCGTGCACCGAATACTTTTAAATTACATAGCGGAAAATTTTACGTATTGTGCATTAAGTGTTTGTTTATATTTGATTGAGAGATTCACAGAATTAATGTTCAGCCTCTGGGTACGTATCAGTATTTATCGATATTAATATGTCAAAGTCAACAAGATTCAGAAGATATTCATGCTCGGATTTTATTAACATTGGTTGGTATGTTTATTATGCATCAAACGTAATATACTTAATATTATTTCATGTTCACAAATTAATCTAATTGCTCTACAGTGGTCAGATGAAATCCAGAATTGGCCAGCCACCTGTAGCGCCGAAAGCGCGTTTTGAACGTGTGTCTCTCGTACACAAACATGAATACTTAAAAATACAAGATCGAACCGCATATCCGCATTCTTACAGGGATTAATCACCCGTATTCGCAAGATATTGCATCGCGCGTTATCTTATCATTTAATTGGTTACTCCGACATCAGATATGCTGAATGCTTCTTTATCAAATGAAACGCTCGTTCGTTTATCCGTTATTTGCAAGCGGACGAGGTAACGAAGAGATGCGAAAGGTCACACGCCAACTAGATGGACAGCCGATAGAGGCCCGACCTGGCTTCTTTCTTCGTGAAATGGGTCAGAGCTCGCTCACGCGGATAGGAAGTGACGCTACCACGAAGAAGGCGAGCACGAAATTCGAGGCTTTACACGTGTTAAGCTATCGTGTTCGAAGTTTTCGCTTCGAAGCCCTCGTACTACCTGCTATTCGGCAAATCTATTCGTGCTCGGACAACTTAACGTTGGAAATAGTTGCGAAAGTATCATTTACGTTAAATAATTCCCTACGAATTATACTTCCGACTAATCTCGGTGAAATTACTTTTAATGCTACACGGAAAAAACAGTATACTTGGCCCATATACACAAATCTGCACGACGAAACATTCAATATTGAATTTGGCTGGCACAATCAGATTTATATATGGGCTAACCATATTGTTCTTTTCATGTGGTTATGTCAATCAGATTCAATAGTAAAATACGGAATGATTAAATGTGGTTACTGCAGATTACATGTGGTCATTGCAATTGTTACGTTACTGACTTTGCAGCAATGAGAGCTGGTTGCTTCAATTAGAGTGTACCAAAGGTCCATGTTATCCCAACCAATTTCTGGTGGTCACAACCAAAGTACGCGCAACATTGATGTAATTAGTTTACCAAAGTAACTGAGTCATATCAACCACACACTCTCTTAAAGTGAATCAGTGAATAGTCACTGATATCAGTTATAATTATAGCACTGAGCAGTTTTATTATATTCACTGCTTTCAATGATGTTTCACTGATTCACTTTAAGAGAGCACGTTACTATTACACAAAAATAACTAAAGTGACGTAACTATGCTGCTCACAATTAAATATTTTTGATTATGTGTACCATATTTTTTTGTGTAAGATTAAAAAAATTTTCTGGCATACGATCGTTAGAACAATTAAGGGGAATAAGTAATTAAGAGCAAAAACAGCCAATCCAGTTAGAAGTGCGTGTGTTTTAAAATATGTGCAACGTTATCGGGCATGATGAATAGAGCTTCAAAAAAAGAAGGAAAACGAAATGAAATATTTCGCATAACTTAACGCTTTCGGATCTTAAACTCACATACCTCCAGCTGCGTTAGCTCTTATTCATCTTGTTTAATCTAACGATCATTTTTAATGCATATAACGCCATTTCGTCGAGTCAGGCCGATTTTGTCAAGTGTATACAAGTACGACTACAATTTATAAATTAGCCGCAACTTTTGTTCTTATTCGCGTCGGCTGTAGGAAATGATCGAAGAGTGCAACCATCCGTCACGGTTCTTGCTGCCACAGAACGTTTTAAAAGTCCGTGCAGAGTCGGCGCTGAGGTCATGACTTGTGACTAATCAGCTCGCGTTTCTTGCATAGCGAAATGCTTCCGCGACATACATGAAAGTAAGTGTCGGCGGGCAACTAACCGCGTGGCCATTGCAGCAACAAAGAAAACAGGAAGGAAAGAAAGAAAGAAAGAACGAAAGGACGAATGGAGATCTGATACTGCGGCCTGTCGCACCGTAATTCTCCACGTAATTTCAGGCCGACTCACGTAGCCGATCTAGGACGCCGAGAAGAAAGTTTCGTGTCTGATAACACTCGGCATGCCCATAACGAAAGTCGCTATTACAAAAAACAGTGGCGTTGAAAAATTTAAGAATTAATCCGCGATCAACGTAGGTGCAAATTGGGGTCTCCGCGTACCGTTCACGGAGGGTCCTTAACTTCTCGTCTCCTTTAGAATCAGCGCCCGCTGGCACACTTAAGGGAAGGACATATATCGTGTTAGAACAATCGATTTTTCAATTTTCCATTTTCTTAAAGCATGACATCACAATGACACAAAAATATTTTATCAAAACTGCAAGTCTAAACTCGAAAAAATGAGAAAGTTACAGCGTTTTAAAGAGAAGCCTGATTTCACGAAATCATACTTTCAAAATCGATACCCAAAATATCTCGAAAACAATCGAATGAATCAATCCCATTCTGTTTCCTACTTATTCAATATAAAATTACGCAGTCTTTGTTATAAGATATTTTTTCTTAAAGCATTAGTTTCGTTTCTATAGTCGAGAAATAGCTTATTTTTTTTGCGTAAATCCACATTTTTACTTTTAGAAAACGCCACTTTGTAACAAATGAAAATTTTATAAATTGAATACGACAAAGACTAAATTTATTTGTGTATCCTAACAATTATTCGGCCTTTTTTATTTCAAATGAGCCGTGTGGATTCTACAGTAAGTACCGCTAACTGCTGCACCAACGAACACGCTTAATGTAGACGACGATATCTAGACAATTTTTTAATACTTCTACCAATTTAATACAATGTCAATAACTTTATACATACAATGTTAGTGGAAATTCCGATTCAATAAAAGTAATATTTTTGACGGAGGCCTCTCACAAATACACGCCTACACAGAAAAAAAAGATTTGCTAATATATGGACAACTAAAAATATTAACTGCAGGAACAGATTTTCTTGCTTACATAGTAAAAGTTATTTAGTTATTTTTAAATTTAGTTAAATTTAAAGTTAGTTAAATTTGCTCTTGCAGTTAATATTTTTAGTTGTCTATATGTTAGCAAATCTTTTTTTCCGTGTATTTTCGGTTTTGCTAGGTGTATGTCCCTTCTTAAAACGGGAACTCGGAACGAGCGTCCAGGGGTCGTGTGTCGCAACGATTTCCTTGCAGCCGCGTATACATATCGGATCGCGTGTACGGCATTATGTGTCTTGCGTTATACAGTACCAACAGAGGCCAAGGTCACGAATAACCGCCAGACGTGAAACTACGCAACGATCAGACGGGAAGATCGGCATCTAGATCTCCGAAAATCCGATATCGAGCCTCGATACCAAGTGTCTGTGTTAATTATTCGGTTTAGGCGCGCTCGTTGGAGAAACGTGTCACACTGTGTGAAATGTTTTATTCTTTGTTTCCTCTTTTTTATTGAAACTTTCCTCGCTGTACACGATAACATTGTAAAAACATTGTGAATGTATGTGCAGAATCGCGCTTGCGCGATGTGCAATATGAGAAAATAATTGTCTTATATCCAGGCCACCAGACGCTACGTGATGATTCCGGAACGCAATTATTATTAAATGTAGAACATTAATACGCGATTTCGCGCAATTAAATTGTATTTTAGAAACGCGTTAATAATGTATTATATAATGTCGGACGTCGCCAGACGCGCGGAGTAGACTCTTGTGTTTAAGTGTTCGTTAAACTTGCGCACTTACCTTATCAGATTTAAGCGGGACTGCCGCAAAATGTGACGTCTGATTTTATCTGCGGAATAAGTGTTTTTTAACGCGCATGCCCGACATCATCCCGTATTTATATGGCCGCTGCGCGTTTTATTTTTACGTTTCATGAAAAATAACGCCCGCCACCAGCAATTCTTATTTAAATGAATTTCGCATGCCGGGCACAACGGTGTCGGGGTTCGCCCGCGCGTTCTCCTGAATTTATTAGCATCCCTTTATGATGAAAAAAAATTACACGTAGGCACAAGGAGGAAAATACAACGCTTCGTTCTGACTTCTACCTGAGTCATGCTGTCACGATCGCCGTGTAATGATCACTGTTTCATAATCGGTCGTCCACTTCCATCGAAGTTACCAATCGTTGTCCACATACTTAGCTGTCCACATTAAAACGCTCAAGTAATGTCTGCGTTGCGACGAAGTAACAGCCGCACGTAGCATTCATGACTGTCATATTTTCCACGAAGGCCGATAGAAATCTGTGCATTCATTATCGTAACGCAAGTTAAAAATCGCACAGCTTTATCCACGTGCATGTTGCGTGAGCGCGTTTCACCTCACGAAAACGAATGGCAAAGAAGTCCGTGTTGCCATCTACCAAAGCAGTCGGAAACTTTCTCCCTATTATTGATTTCTGAGCACGAATAAATTTCTCGAAAACTAACACCGCTGAATTATTCAACGTGTATTGCTAAACACTAATATCGCTAAGAGCTTCTCCTAATTTACTCATCCTAATTTACGAGAACTATCATCAAATGCGAATGTCGTTACCAAATATACAAATCTACAGTCGGTCGCGAGGATAACCCCGCGAATACATCAAACTAGTTGTACATTTTATCTGGAAGCTTAATTAATGCTATACAAATTTTATGCACGACGTCCTAGTTCGATCTGGTGTTAATATCACGTCCGACAACATATCGCTGTATTGTACCTTTACATGTTCTACATATCCAGGATATTGCATGTCATACAAAGCTTCCTGTGCTCTTGATAACATCTTACTTTACAGCATGCAGCATGTAAGAAAGCCAATTTCGAACGGTCGAACATTTTCTCCCTCGAAGCTCGAATACAAGCTCGACTTTAACTCATCTTGGGAACAAAGTGGTTACCGTTCGTTGATATTCAGACTATTTTACCTGGAACTTTCCAAGTGACTGAGAGAAACAGATCTTTCCCTCTTTTTACATTAGTAGCACTACTTCGAAGCTTTTGACATTAGTAGCACTACTTCGAACGTGCCATGCAGATTCACTTATCTGCATCGTTGTTGAATTTAAATACTTATATTTTCAAAAATTCCGAGATATAATAGATATAACATTTGGTAACATTTAATATGAGGAAATAACTATTTAGTTCAATTTACTATCGCATTGTTCTAACTTCGCGTTTAGTAGATACACGATACTCACTCACTCGGTGGTCGGTAACTTGAATACTCTGTGACGTAATCAGTCTTACGTGACTTTGATGTTCAGAAGGGAATTCTTTGAAAAGCTCGAAATCTTGTTTAAAGTTGCTTAGGCGACGTATAATTAAATTTTGTGAATTCCTAAGTCCCACTTTCATAGGAAGATCTTATAGTGGATGCCGCGGAAGCTCCCTTATGAGATAGCACAATGACACACATATTCCCGTGTGTGCGCGCTCCCTATAAGTAACAACGAGGACGTTCTAATTTAAGCAACAGGGTGCACGAGATTCGTACGTCTACCAAGGCTAGTCCCAGCCAAAGGGCGAATCGAGACTGAAGGGCGCGATCCGCTCGTGGGGTTGATGCGTAAAGGGGGAATATACAGCTTACCAGTTGGCGACGGCAGTATCGATCAGTCGCACACGCGTGCACTTTAGCCGCGTCTGGATATTCAACGATGATTTCTCTCTTATTATCCACTTGGTTTTTTTGTAAGAGGATCAAGTATTGGATCTCTGACTGCAAACGACGGTACATGATTAACTTCCAAACACAAAGGCGTATATATCGCATGATATTTTTCTGAAATATCGAATGTTTTGACAGTTGGCTTATCAACTTACGGATTAATATCGTATGTGATCTTTTATATAGATATATGGAGAAAGATAAGTTTATCGTGCGTCACGTCAGATAATGCCAGGATTTATATTTACTCGGAATTTATATAAATTGAAGAAAGTATGTAATAACATTTTTCTCCAAGAAACATGTGATAGAAAGAAAGAGAGAAAGAGAAAAAAATATAATCAGTTCGATAGCGAATTTTAATCTCGTTGAAAGATACATATCGAGATTTTCTCGGTTCAGCTTGTGCACGTCCACCATTTCCAAGATGCGCATTTAATTAGTTAATAAATTAATTAGTATACAAAAATATATTTCATGTTTCAATTTTCGAATTAATACTCAAGGAAGTCAAAGAATCCTGCTCCGCGAGCCTTTAGTATTCATGCGCTGTCCCTAATTTCCGCATCAAGCGCACAATCTAGTTCCACTTTGACATTAAACACAAAGTTATTTTACAATGTGACGGCAACCAACGGCGCTATCGATCGGCTGCTCTTGTGCCAGTGGTGTTTACTCAGACAACCACTTCCATGATTATTCGATCCCATGAGACATTCCCCTAGACACGAGCTTCATCTCTCTACTTTGCATAATCACATATACCATTCTTTACGAGCTCGACCTATGTTGATGATAAGAACCTACTACTTCGCTATCACCATCAACGATATCAATATTCGCCGCCGTGTCTGCATATTAAGCGCATTACCACGAACCGAAATGCATTTCATCGAGAAATTGAGAATGTATCTCTGCGCACAGGAAGATATCATTCTACTGCTAAGCAAAGCAATTGCTTGATGTGCTTCTTTCTTTTAAGCAATAGTTATCTTCAACAAAAAAACATATTTTCTAATAGTGTAAAAATATGCTCATCGGAAATTTCAGAAAACTTCATTGATACTCATTGATGAAAAGCAAATATGATACTTATGATAAACTTGTGATAAAAATTTGCACGCGTGCGGATATATAAATATTATAAAATACGAACTACTTTAAACACACAAGTAGCATTTATTCGAATACAATGTATATATTTTTCTGTGTGTAATGTTTTTTCTATATTTCTTGTGGAAGAACGAGACTTTCAACTTTTCAGAAGCGACGGTTCGCTATCAGTGCAAGCGAACGTGTGCGATCGGTTGCGAAACGTTAATTGGTGGGCCAAACCACGTCCTTCGCATCCGTAGTCGAAGCTAATTTTATTGGTACACGGCCGTCGATCACCCGTGACACTTTGACGTGGAAATGCATCGTCAAAAGGTCATGCGCGAATGACGGCCCACGTTCGCTATTATCGCGTTCGTAAAATAGGAACGTCGGCTATAAGCAGTTGGCGGGAGAAAAAAGCTGGACGGACGGAAACGGAAGAGACGTGAGTAGCAACGAAAAAAAGAAGCAAGCCGCTGAGCTGCAATCTGCATGGATTATTGAGTTCAAAAGGCTTAAATGCACAAAGACCGAGCACGAGGCCGCGCGCTGGCTGCGGGAAAAGTGAGAGCGTTGTCGCGAGAAAAGAGAAGAGAATGAGCGCGCACCCGGAACGAAAGAACGCGCGTTAACCCTTGAACCCTGGATTCAACGTTACTTCGGAGACAATGAGAGCGCGCTGTCGAGTGAAGATCGATCGCCGGAAGTGCCGGCGGGTGCCTTCCGTTCGTGGTAACCTCGGCTGTTACTTCGTTTCTACAATGCGAATGATATCGCTTGCGATGAGAGAGAGAGAGAAAGAGAGAGAGAGAGAGAAGGTGAGGGAGAGAGAGGGAGATTAACAGGTCGCATGGTCGTCGCTGCATATTCAGAAGTGTCGTTCTTATATCATTCTGCCCACATCGGGCCATTCAATCACAACTGTCCGCGGTATAAATCGTATGCGGTGACGCGCGCGTTCCACCGTGGCGCTTATTGTTAGACATATCCCACGTAGACCACCTGCATTCATTAAATCTGCATACGCGTGTACAGAAGGGAATTTAAAAAGTTGAAATTATGAGGGCAACGTAAAGAGAAACTAATGGCGTGCGCAGCATACAGTCGCGTTAATTAAATCACTGTAAAGCTATTTTAACACGAACGGAGATGAGACAGAATAATAGAGATACATGCGGAGTGGAATGCGTAATGTTCGCTGAAAATCAAATACAATATTTTGTCACGCAAGTGAATATAATCGTCACGTGTGAATACGATAGAACTCAAACAATTGTATTTATATCTTTTTGTCGAAGTTTGCACAAAATATGCACACACCGCACACACTCGCATATATTGTAAAGAATTTTATTCTAAAACTCTAAATTGCTTTATTCTAATGCATCGTATTTTTCCTGCACATCAAACACGTTTTCATTTATTTCCAGTACGGTCATGCGCATTTTAGATAGGTTGGGCGTAAACCATGTAGCGTGCCTTCTGGGATTTGCAATTCCCAAATGCAATTCTCCGTATTTTACTTTAGCATATGAAAGAGACACCGCGAACGGATACAAAGTGACTCACTTTTAAATACGTTATATTTTGCCGAGTGTCCAATCCAATTAAATGTTACATTTTACAATCCAAAATAAACACTCTTTGACCAGTACGTATTTTTTGAGAAATTTTTTCTTCAGCCGAAGACATATGACAAATCTAAATAGAGAAAATAGTAGAAATAATACACACAAATAATCCACCTGAAATTAAATTACTCTTCCAGAGAGCCTCTCAATTCCGTCTGAAATGTTTTGTCACATTTTCAGTTAAAGTCAAGAATATTTGTGAAATTTTTAAGTACTTCAACACATATATTTCAACAACTACTTCGCTCATGTGTTCACATATCTGTCATTTACGACATGACGTAATTGCGAATAATTATATTTATCACAAGTCGTCTTCTCCTTCTTACATCGATGACGTAATTTTTAATGGGACAACTTTATCATAACGACGAACATTTCTTCGTCGACCAAACGATTAAGTTGCTACCTTAAGAACGTCAATGCAACTACGGGACTACTTTTTAACCCATTCACCTTGAAATTTATTTTCTGGATTCTGACGACTCCAACATCAAAATACTTCGGCATCGCGAAAGATTTTGATGTATGAGATGCAATATACTAGAAAGACATGAGTATACATTTATCAAGGTTAAAATCTTCATTTTTATTGTTTATTATTTACTAAGTACAAAAGATATATGTGAAACATTTTCTCTTTACAGATTTATCACAAATCGCTTTCTCTTGACGTAATTTTTAATGAAACAACTTTATCGCACAACGACGAATATTCTTTCGTCGACGAAACGATTAAATTGCTATCTTAATAATTTGCAAAAACAATATCTTCTGGTCGATTGTTAATCGTTGTCTTCAAAATTTGATAAATCAGCACAAATACGCTTGTTAGATAGTCCAATGATTCGGTTTTGATATCTATCCAATTATATCTAAACAAATTATATAGATAAATGTATATAAATAGCAATGTACGTATTTTTTAATGAATTCTATCAAACAGATGGATTCTATTAAATATCGATCGATTTTATCGCGTCAATTTATAGTAAAAATATCGGAGAAACATGTGAGAGAAAGAAAAAAGAGGGAAAGAGAGAATGTAAGTGAGAGAGAGCTTGAATAAAAAATAACATAAAATGACAAAATCATATAAAATGGAAGAACATGAAGCAAAATGAAATTCTACAACGTAATCTTTGATATTTTAAAATTTACTGACTTGAATGTACAAGTCTATTGACTTGTCAATAGAAATACATTTGTGCAGCACAAGTACTCACGTTTTTCTCCATCTCTTAATAACGACGTGAACGATCTTATTGGTGCGCATTTTTCATCTTAATGTCCCATATGATCATCCTCCGGTTTTGGTGTATAGATAAAAAAGAACGTCAAACACCAGATACAGAAGAGTGCGAGTAGCAAGAACCACGTTACGATACTGAACATGTTCCATCCGAGAATAATTTGGCGAACTGAACTATATTGTCGTATAGGATTGTTAGATTTTGAGGAACAAATCGTTGCACAACTCCGACTGTCCGCCATCATGTATTTAACTCTTATATCGCTGATCGACGATGAATGGCGATCCAACGATTCACGTACCCTGATTGATACCACGAATCAACAAAATAGACAGTGTTCCTCGCAACGAACGGGTAAAACAGATTAGATAACAAATACATCCAATTGCGAGACTACGAAAAATTATCTGCTGTCTCTCGTATCTGTTTAAGCACACAAGTACTATTTTATTTTTTTAAGTTGTTACCCGATACTCAGTCTTTCCGAAATACGTAAAGCAATCTGTGTCTCGAGCAACCAGGAAAAAAGTAAAATTTCACGTAGATACACATGTGAATAAGTAGCGAGGAAGATATACATCGCTGTATATTGTTATCATGTTTCTCTTTTACCGAATGGAAGTAAGCTGTTTGCCGTTATCACCTACTCTCTATATTACACTACTCTATATATCACAGTCTCTATGTTACAGTTATTCTTATAAGGATATATTTACGAGCAACATTCCGTATTTTCGTTATTAGATTTTTCCCACGCGAATAACCAATATCCGAGAGCTGTCCCGACACCGATAGCGATGCAGAGCCAATAGTTGTACGTCATAAAAATAAACATGAGAAAATAGCCGAGCACAACCTGGATCACGTGCAGGAGCGTTTGAAAGAGATGAATTCCGGAGAACAGCAGTGAACTGCAATGATAAAAGTCTTGCAGTAAACTGAAACTGCGCGACGGAATCTTCCAAGTGACACAACATTCATACGTACTGTCTCGATTTTTTCTGCTTCCTCTTGATACACGCCGTACGCACGTAAAGGTAGTCGCTACAATTTACATGCAGATAAATGACTGACCGCGTGCGCGTTACTTTAGCGCGTAATATTAGTCGCGTACTCACCGATAAGACTTCAGGCCCTCGTACAAGGCGGATAGAAGAATAACACCGATCACGGAACCGACCATTCCTTGTGCATCATTGATGCTCCAGCCACGGAACAGAACAGTTTCCGTGAGGCCGCCATGGAATGCCATCTACAGCGATCAACGAACAATTACGAGCGGGAGAACGACAATAAACGCGAAACGCAAATCCCACGTGCGTCACTAACACTTACGCTATGCATCTTGTTTGGACTAACGTTGTCAGGTAGTTTCACTCAAGCCAACGCTCACCATTGTGTGAATGTTGGAGCATTTACTGCTACACAGCTGTCCCATATGTCTTTATCGTATTTTAGATAACGTATCGTACAGTTATCTTATACACTTGCAGACGAACAAGACCGTAATATTTATCAGAGCAACTTAGGGCGTACGCGATATTCGCCGCACCTCATTTTATTTATTAGTCTATTAGTCTATTAGTCTAGTGAATCATTTAATTTTTATAGAATTTACAGAAAACGAGACTGATTGATATGATTGTGACTGATTGATATTGATGTCATACGTAATGTCGCAAGAGAAAGATCAGATATTATAAAATATATTTCTAAACTAGAGCGTAAACAGTATTCACTCTTGCAGAAATTGCATAACAAAGCTTGTCTATTTTCCGGCACACCTAATAATAGCGCGTTGTATAGCCAACAACGCTTTATATAACGCAGCGCACAGAAGAAAAACCGTGCACGAAGCCTTTACGAAGAAATCGTAAAAGTCCTATAAATTTAATCGAAAGATTTTTCTATTAAAATTTTCTTTCCGTTTAACCTAGATTCACACCTATGAAATTATATTAACAGACGTATAAATGAATTAAATATCTCTGTTATCTCGCGCGATATCTTATTCTTTGTCCAATAAAATATTGATATAAAATACACTTAAAACAAGATCTCGGGGCAGAAATCAGCCGACGTAAAAAATCGACTAATCTTTATCACTTCTACCTGAGACTCGTAAAGTATTTCAACTGGATATGATAAATCACAAGGTTCAGGAGACATAGTAACGTCTTGTTAGTCTGCAACATATAGCAACGCATACGACATAATATGTTGCAATACATTGCACAACCTGAGGCTGCAAAACCTACGACTTGATTAGCTGTATTAATTAACTAAAAGAGACAATCTGATCGTGTAGCATACGGCATAATGTATACGTTGCAATATATTGCACAACCTGAAGCTGGAAAGCCCACACAATCCGATCTTGCATTAGTTGCCTAAGAGAAACAATTCAATTCAAAGTCTCGCCAACGTAACCGTGCAATGACGTGCTTTGACCTCATTCGTTTGCACATATCGGGCAGAATCGATGGACGAATTCGGCGCTATTCCGCGATTAAACGATATCGCGATCGTCGGCAAGCCGAATCCTTCTTGGCCCTTGGTCGCGAAGGGCCCAAGAGTTCCAGATATTAAGTAAATCGATTTCTCCCGTTTCTCTCCCTCTTTCTCGTCGGCTTTCTCCCCCGTTGGGATGCACGCCACCGCCACCACCACCATCGCCGCCTCGCCGCCGCCGCCACCGCCACCGCCACCGCCAGCACCACCACCGCCACCGCCACCATCGCCGCCACTACCACTCCCGCCGGTCGGCGATCAGCCAAGATGCCCGACCTGCGTGAACGAGACGGGCGCAACCTGTGGCTGATCCTGACCGGCGCGCCTCTCTCTGCGTCCGGAAATTCACCCACGCTCGATCCTTGAAGCGCCTCCACTGGCATCAGTGCCATTCTCACCGCGCGGCCGTTTGCACGTAGTCTCTCGTCGAGGACAACCGTGGTCCGCCGTGCGCGACGTGCTGATCGTCATCGGGTGACGACGGTGATGCGCGCTCGGATGCAGGTGGGGGTCGGTGCAACGAGGGACGGAGATCGCGCGCGGGGCGTCGCGGAGCAACCCCCGGGGGTGATGATGAGCGTGCCGGCTCCCCGAGTTCTCCCCGCCGTAGTGAAGCTTTAGTCCTGGCGATGCGGCGACCGCGAGCTTAACGTTTCGCTTCGGCTCGTTCTCTACGGCGAGTGACGACGTGCTGCTGCGAAAGAGGTGCGGATGTTGTTGTCGAGGAAAGCGAGAGCGGCCGGCGCGATCGGGATCGCGTGTAAGACAGTATTGCGTTTGTTGATGGAGGGCGATGCGCGAACGTAGCCGGTTAGCCGCCTGTCAGCGTGATTAGCGACGTACCGTGCCATTATTAGCCGCGATCGACGACGATCGGCGAGAGGTTCCTCCCACGAAAGCGGACATCGAATACTGCTGATCGATGTTGAGTGCGGCTAAAGAAAGGTGAATACTTCTTTTTCCTTGTTTTTTTCACAACTCATGCTCATTAGAAGCGAAAACGGCGATTGTTCAGCTACGCGTAAATGTCAAATCTTTTCGTAATGTTACATGTCAATTTGGGAAGACGGCACGCGAATACGATGGAACACTGAATAATTAAGACATGCTCGCCAACTCCGAATTACTTCCGACGCATTTGAGCCTGGTGTATATTTATTTATACGAAATATATATATATATATGTATGTATGTATGTATGTATGTATGTGTCTCGTTCATCAATGTTTTTTCGTTTCGACGTATTTCTCGCCAGTCGTCTAGACAGGGTCAATATTCTATCGCGAGGCACTCTATTCGTATATCTCATGCTTTTAAATACGTTTTTGTATTCATGTATGCAGCTTTCAATAAAATCGAGACGCGCTCCGGTTCATTTGCGTTCGACGTTAATTTACTCTTGAATCTTAGTTGAATTTTATGATAAAAATATAAAATTAATAATTAGAATTATAAATTATTCAAAAATATAAAAAAAATTTACGTATGTGTCGAACAAAATATAAATTCAATTTCGATCATGAATTTGTACAAAGGATGAATGCTGAGAGAAAAGTCAATGCGATTTTAATTTATTTCATAAATATCTACGCAATGTAACGCGCGTGCACACGTCGTTGAGCACATTTCCGCCGAAAGTTACTTGCTCTTTTCGTACGGAGTGCAAGAAACGATATTACTAATGCATCGTGTAAAAGCCAAATTTCTTGGCACAAGATCGCGCGTAACAAGTCGGTTAAAAGCTGCCGTCATCGAGCTGCACTCTTCGTAATCGTCCATAATAGTTGGCATAAATCGGAGAGTGATCACTCTTATGTTTTGCGTACAGCTCTGAAGCAGCTTCGTGCGTTCATGTACGATAGCAAACGGCAATTCGAATATACCCGTTCGTTAGCCATTCAAATAGACGAAAACTACATAATTGTGCAATTACATATCTACAAAAAATAATTATCAAAGTTTAGTTATATACTATCGAGAGTAAAGCTTGGTCAAAATAATATTTGATTAATTTTTAAATCCGTCTATATATCGACAATCTCTTGTGATAATTATATTGCGTTTATGTGAAAGAAAATTTTAGTTACACGTTCGATTTTATATGTTGCAGATGTAAGTTGGTTGGACGTGTACAGCGACCTTTTTGTACAGAGAAATGTATTATCGTCGTGCTAAGCTAATCAACGACATGAGGTACGGGATAGAAGGCTGATTAATTACTGTCTATAATTCACAAGAGTACACTACGTCGCGAGAGCTCTTTAACTTGTAATTATTCACGTCGCATCGCACACAAGGACACGTAGGCTTGGACTGACACGTAGAAGATAAACCCTCCTCTCTCCGTATAGCGACCTGAGAATAGATATTTTCGCATCGAGTCGACGTGATATCACGTATATATGTATATGTTACGAAGAAAGTATTTCTCTCAGGTATAGATCGCATTCGTTCGCCGGATCATCACGTTCGTTTTTATATGAGACCTTTTCTTCACTGTGTGTGACCGAATAATAACTGAAAAAAGTTCATCACTCGTGCCGTCGAACGCAACATATCCGCGACACTGGGACCAATATGCAAATATACCGCCGACATAAAATGCATCGTGCATGTGCAAGTATACTGTGCCGAAGTAGAGCCTTAATTATAAAACGCAGCCACCGAGAGAATAGCTCGATATAATTTTCGACATGACCATTACACATGGTACAAGAAAGGAGCGATTGATACCGTCGTGAACTCATCTAACGATGGCAAAAGATTTGCGACTACTGTGTTTGTTTTCTCCAGAGTACAATGTAAAGGAAAGGCCAGTTAGAAGACGTCGATGCTCGCTCACGTTGATAATATCGATCATGAAACATGTGACCTGACAAGCAGAACGCTTCGAAAGAGAAATGAAGCAGGAGATTCACGCGCTTTGAAGAGAGCGAGATTGAGAGCACGTAATTCCGATCGTTCACACGTAACTCCGAATCTGTCGAATAAAAGACCGAACGGAGTAGTAGCGAAGAAAGAAGAGTATAGAAGTACAATGACTGATGAAGTAGAGTTACAGTTCATCAGAAGCGGTTCTAGGCCTTCTTCTCGGGATCCTTCTCAGATTCCCTCTAGACAATCTTTATCGGAACAGGAGCAAAAGATACCGATACCAGAAGAAGAGCCACCTCAAGGTATGCATTAACAAGAATTACTTTGTGAAAAGCTTTATTGCATGTGTGTATATATGTATGTACGTGGAGTGTGTGCGTGAGTGTGTGCGGTCATAATATGGCCTAAAGTGTCCACCGTCGTGTGCAATCGACGTGGAAGTAATCCCTCGTGAGAGAACAAGTGAAAGAGATATGGAATCAATTGTGTCTGTTACTAATTTGTTTTGTCGAATTTCGCTAGAATTGTTACGAAAATCTGCCGAGGTTTCGACTTTCATTCGTCTGTATTTTGCATTTCTTAAAGTAAGAATTGTGCGACACAGTACCCCCTTGATATTCGCGTGTTCATGTACGAACTCGCGTACATTCAAATTGTTCGCGAATTTATGCCCTTCGTGACTTACTCTCATGACACGAATGTAACTTCGAGAAAAATTTAAACACAGATATTAGCTCTGACAGAGGGGAATCGGTCTCCGCGTGGTAGTTCGATACGCAGTGGAATGAACATGATAACGATACTGTCATATGGTATGTTTACACGCATCAGGAAAATATATAAATGTAAATAAGTAAACAAATAAATGTTTTAAATTGACGATATATAGTTTTAAATTAAATTCGCTAACTCGTTTTGGATTAAAACAAATGGTCGGTTTTACGGCCGGATGGAGGAGTTACACGCGAATTCGAAATATTCTTCTCGTTTCGTGCTCGTGGTTACTGAACTGAATACCATTTTCATGATAAGTAAATATTGAGCCACTTTATTAACCTGTACGACGATCAATGTGTAGATATACTTTCGACGTGAATCCATCCTTACTTTTCCCCTTATTTGTTGGCTCCGTGTTTAATTGATTACGGGAAGACGCGCTACCAACAGCGCGCCTTCCGGAACTAAATCGACTGGAAAGAAGGTCGACTTTTAACTCCGATCTTTTCGGGCCGTCTAACTTCGACGGACGTAGTCGGGAAGCACATGAATGTTTTAATATGCTTCGACCAAGACACGTTCGACTGGTCACGAAGTGATATTTTGAAACGACGCTCCAACTCACTGTGAAATGTCCGAATAATTTATGCCGTACAACGCCTATCCTTTTCGTGGCTGAAAGAAACCAATCGGAATGGCAGCGACAAAACGTTACGGGGTCACAAGTTCAAAAGTTCAACCATTTATAAACTTCCTCTTCTCATCGATATTTGTCAATTTGCATACTATTAACTCTTAAGCTTTGCTAAATCGCAGACATTGTCGCAGATGTACTTCTGAAAACATTATTTTTGCAGGACCGTATAATTTGCGATAAGAAATAAATATCTCTTTTTAGGATTAAATCCTCAATGTGTTTAGAGAGGAAATTTACATAAAATAATGAACAGATCGCATCTTCGGTGAAATAATTCGATTTCTTAATTAAATCGAAATAATAGAACATAATTTTCGCAAATATTTTTCAATCAGATTTACTTGTTCCGCGGCATACGCGTCTAGACTTTTTTGTACATTTGCAAAAGCTGTATGTTTTATTACTGTCTTGTATTAGCCTTTCTTGGCATATATCTACATTGTACGATAATAATCGGAATTTATGAGATTTTTCAAATGGACGAAATAAGTTATGAGATGGATGGAATAAATCCCAGATGAAGAAGTCGTTCTATCTTCATCGTTTCTAATTTTCAACTCGAACTTCTAATGAAAATTTAACTGCGAAAGGAACTTACACTAATGCAATCTTCTTTATCGGGAGGAAAAACGCGAACAATATTTCGGTGGTACGAACTAATATAATCGTCGAATGGGTCTCGTGGCGAAGCGAAAATCGATACGACATCCTTCTAAAGAACTCCGATCCACTCGCAACTTGCCCCCGATTCTGATCTCGGAAGGGTCAGATCTCGTGTGAGATACAGCTACACACATTTACTCCCCACCTATACACCGAAAACATGTTCTACCACGCATGCGGTGTTACGAGCTAGCTCTTATGACGAACGATAGAACGGGGAGCTGTCTTATCTCGGCTCTTTTCAAAATTCTTATCTCGACAACAAGTGGAGAAGAAGGCGATGGGAGGTAATCCCTCTTGTCACGTGTACGTAAATTTCTACGCCACTATTTTAAATATATCTCAAGTCTTTCTTTACAGCGACTATTAAATTTTTCCAATATTTCTGCGACATCAAGACAATCGTTCCGATACACGAGCAATTAGCATTCGTTCTCGTTGCGAACACAAATGCAATACTAAGCAGCTTCTCATGTGAAATGTCGGCGTATCAAGGCGGATTCATAATGTCGAGCGAGTTATAATGCCGAGAAACCCATAAACGCGCAACGTCGCGTCCGGTTGACTACCCCCGCGGCTGATACAAATGTCACGGTGGGCCACCGACTGGACTGGGTTGCAAAACGTGGATCAGGGATGGCGCCACCGTGATACCAACCACCCCTAACTGAAGGCGAGGACCAGCAAAACCACCCCCGTAAAGCAGTCCGCCACCAGGGGATTTGGACAGCCGCCATTTCTACCTAACTCCGCAGTAGCTATATCCCACGCTTTAATGCCAATGAAATGTCAAGGCACGTAGCGCGTTATAGACCCGCCGACGGTGTCGGACTGCTCGGCTCGAGTTTGACAAGCTCGCGGATCGTCGCGTACTGGCGGTTCCTCGCGGTGGGGTGGATCGCGGTTGCGCTACCGGCGGTGGTGTTGCACGGAGTTCTGGTCGCGATTGTGCTCGGTGGATCAGGAACGCCCGCGTCACGCACGAGTCGGCTCACCCACGCCGATTAAGCGGCACTCGTGTTCCTGGTGTGTTGCTTCCTGGATCCCACGCGTTCGCGCGTCGCGCGCGCTATCGATCAGCCATCGATAGAGCATCAGAATTCCGGAGGCCTCGCTGTGCACGGAGCTGCCCCCGTTGCGTGCGTACGAAACGACGGCAGACGGCGCGAGCAAACTCGCGGCCACGTTGCTCCAATTTCGGCGTGTTGACACGACGATCGGACGATCTCCTGCTGGCGCAACGCTCAGCCGCCCTGCTGCCGGTAGTAATTGATGCGGCTCGAGCAACCGCGGCACAACACGCGAGAGCCGGCTCATTCACGGCGAAACGAGTGCTCCTGCTGGCGCAACGCCGTCGACCGAAGCTCAGACTTCACCCTCGCTGAACCCTTAACCTTGACGCGGACGGTCCAGCGGCGAAAGTAACGGCTGGCCGGGAGGGGAAGCCACGAGGCGACGATCACACGAATACTGGCTGAACAGAGAGAGCCCCTTATAAAAGTCGCCTATGCCTCGAAAGACGGTCAGGTAAAAGAACTCGTTCATCGGAGACCGCCGCCGAATCGGTTCGCGATGAGCGAGCAGGATGTCGATGACGTTGCTTTTCTGACAGGTGAGACAGTACCTAAGCAGATGGCTAGCTAAGAATTAGGACACGCGAGATCGCGAGGTCCTTTAAAACCGTTCTTCTCGACGTTCTTAACGCGCTTCTCGGCGTATGCCTTCGACTCGCGTTCGCTGCACTTGGACGGTTCCTTTTCCATAAGAATGGCTCGACCAGATGGCCCACTTACAGCCCTCCGGGGCTGCGAATAGACTGTACGAGAAGCACGTGTGTGCGATCAATAAGAGGAAAGCTTCCTCTGATCTTCCGAATTAAAGCGTATATAACCGACCGCTTCGTTCTCGCCTACGCGCTTGTATCGATACTTCCCGTTGACAGGTTTTGTTATTAGAGCCCCGTTTATTGACAGCGGAAGCAGATACGTCGCGTGACACGTTGTTAGCGTTGTTCTGCGGTTGCGTTATGCATAGCACCTGTGTACGCGACTGCGACCGCGTGAGAAACCACATTTGTAGGAACGAACGTGTCGCTGTGTATATGTAAGAAAAAAAAAACAATGGTCGCACGGCCGCTCGCAATTTTCAAACCTAATGGGGAAAAACATTGCATGTTTCGAGATCAAATCAAATACTAGGACTATGGCGCATTGATTTTACGAAACCTTGCCAAGCATACTCTACTTTTAAAAAGTAAATGACACGTGTATGAAAATACGCCTCGTAGCTGTATTCACAAATGTGCGAAAGTGAAATGTGATTGACAAAGAGAAACATATCTCGTGATTAGATTGTGTATCAATAGAGTTACCAAAATACGTACTATAAATTGTTGAATAATCAGCCGTAAACCAGGTCTACGGTAAACCATGTAACGCGATCTCGTCGGGAATTTTAATCTCGCGTTAAATTTTAATCGAGAAATCCTTTGTTCCAACAGGTAGCGACAGAGATGTAAGGCAAGAGCGGACGCGTAGTTACGAGCGCGATGGGTTCACCATTGTGTGTTCTCGGGGAAGGGCTGTCTGCTTCGTCTTGACCTGCCTCTTCACGGTCCTAGGCGTCGCGATCATCATAGCCTTCGCCAGACCAGCAAATGGTACTTAAATATCGCTTCAATATAATACCATCATTGTCTTCTACGTAAAATATGTTTAATTTCTACTTGAAGATCACACCCGCCGCGTCCTCTCTTTATCTTTCTCTTTTACATATTGTTTACGTTTTCAGTTTGCCCTTGCGAGGAGAAGAAGATGGACAGCGCGGAGATAAATACAAAAAGCACCGTGCTTCTATCGACTACAAACGAGGTGAGTATAGATTTGGACGCGTCGTCACATAAGAATGCTGACAAAATTAAAGAAATGCAAAAAGATCGCATACAATTTACTTAATCTCTTGAACGTAGGAGTCGTCTCGTATGATTTGTCTGATTTTCTGTCTCAGTGACATAATCGATTTCTATATTACATATTATCACGAAGCTAAATTTAATTTCCAGTAGATTACATTCGAGCATGCTCGTGATACGGTAAATTAGGCTTCACCTAAAATCAGGCAACTGTATACGCGGACTAGTGTAACGGGAAATCAATCGAACACGAGACTATGTACCGATCCATAGGCAATGCATATTTTATAATACTGAAAATAACACGCAAATTATCGAGTACAGTAGGAATTCTTGCAGATATTTCCATGGAACAGCATAAGATTACCCACATTTGCACATCCTACTAGGTACAATATTTCCATCCATCCGAATCTCACTACCACGAGAGTTAGAGGTAAGAACGAGCTGCTTGAACACGTAATCTCTTCGCGATTAACTTATCGCTCGTTCTCTTTTGTAGGACAAGTTACGATCGAACTGTATGTCGATGAAGACACCAAATTTATCGTCTTCCATAGTAGCGGCTTGATTATTACTGAAAAAGTAAGTAACACCTGAGAGATATACATTCGCGCGCGCGTGCGCAAATCCCAATGCCTTGCTTTTATCGTAATCTTTGAGAGTCAACTTTTTCAGATGGTCCAAGAACAGCGCAAAGTTTCGAAGTTGAAAATCGCGAAATTTCTGGAGTATCCGCTGCGCGAACAAATATATCTAGAATTAGACAGCACTTTTCGGAGGAAAACGAACTACACGCTACATCTAAGATTCGCCTCTAAGCTGTCTAACGAGCTCGACGGTTTCTATCTCAGCAGCTACAGCACACCCTCCGGAGAAACAAGGTCAGCCTGAAACTCAGCGATTATTAAAACCGCTTCGCGGATACTTGATCGATACCTGAGACGGCCGACCGGTGAATTTTTGATCCGAAATCCTACTTTCGATCTACAGACATGTGGCCGCGACTCATTTCGAACCGACGTTCGCGCGCACCGCCTTTCCGTGCTTCGACGAGCCGCAGTTCAAAGCCAAATTCAAGGTGTCGATATACAGGGACAGATTCCACATCGCGTTATGCAACATGCCCGTGATAAATACCGACGAGGCTGGATTTTATCTGGGCTCAAGCATTGTAAGTATGCACGCGTTTGTCACATGATCATGGAGTTCAATGCGCAATTTTCGCTGCCATTATCATAATATTGTTCGACATCTTCGCCCTATCGATCGTAAACATAATTCAGACCATGTTATTGCAATTACGGCATTACCTGCGAGAGACCGCATCTGCATTAGCCTGATTTAGAAAAACATTGCTTCTCAGTTACGAGACGACTTTCAAGAGTCCGTGGAGATGTCGACGTACTTGGTGGCCTTTGTGGTGTGTGATTTTAAACCAGTTACCTCGAAGAACAGGGGAGACATACACGTGTACGTCGCGGAACATCTACTTCCGCAGGCGGTGTATGCCGCAGACACTGCCGCTGATATTATGGCTTATTTTGAATCTTATTTTGGTATACCGTATCCTTTGCCAAAGCAAGGTACGTCTTATGTAAGGTATCAAGTAGCAATCATTCAAAAGCTATTCGCATTGCTTCGATACATCGTGTTTTACGACGCATAAGGTAACCAATACCCGGACTCGTATTTAATTCTAGACATTCTTATTGTTTTGGTCTTTTTAAATACGAATATTTAAAATTTTGACACGGAATATATGTACACACACATATATTTTCTCATTAAAAGCTTAAATATTCGTATTTAAAGATCAAAAAATAATAAGAATATCCAAGATTAAGGTATGTATTCGGGAATTGGTAGTTTTACCTTCGTTTACTTAACAAAAAACGAAATTTTGATTCATTCGAGACGTTAAATAAGTAAAAAGAAAACATGATTTCAAAATAATTAATTATCATTAATTATTAAGAGCATTAAAATGATTAATATCATAATTATTACTACAATTATGATCGTGTTTTATTAGATTTAATAGCAATTCCCAACTTCGCGTCCGGTGCTATGGAAAATTGGGGCCTAATCACCTTTCGAGAGGTGGCGATACTGCTCGACCCAAAAGAAACGTCTCTCGAAGCGCGGGAGGGCATAGCCGTCACTATAGCCCACGAATTGGCACATCAATGGTTTGGCAATCTCGTCACGATGAAATGGTGGAACGATATCTGGCTGAACGAAGGAGCGGCCAGTTTCTTCGAGTATAAGGGTGTGCACAACTTTTCGCCCGAGTGGAACATAATGGATACATTCATCATATACAAGACGCAGCCAGCACTCCGCCTCGACGCTCTGTCCAACAGTCATCCGATAAACGTGTCTGTCGAGGATCCCAGCGAGATAGAGAGCATCTTCGATGAGATCAGCTATTACAAAGGCAGCGCCGTTCTTTACATGCTGGAAAGATTTATGGGCGAAGACGTTTTTAAAGCCGGACTGAATGACTATCTAAATCTGCACGCCTACAAAAGCGCAGACACAGATGATTTGTGGGCGGCTTTCTCAAGGAGCCTGAATAATACGCATGATATCAAAGTAAGTACGATACGCGAAGAGCGAATTGAGTGCGTCGCACGCACATCTAACGAAATTAACGATTTCGCCAGGCGGTAATGGGCACTTGGACGCAGCAGATGGGCTTTCCGCTGATAGTCGTCACTCGCGACGGCGATACGATTAAATTATATCAGAAAAGATTCCTCATGACACCACCAAAAAATAAAACCTACGCTTTAGAGCCCAAATCACCCTTTGACTACAAGTGGTACGTCCCGGTGACCTACTATACGGACAAACAACCGCACGAGATTCGCAAAGTGTGGTTGAACATGACCACTGGTAACATACTCAACAATTATATAAAATGTTATCATACAGTATGTCCGACAATTCGTTATGCAGTCGCAGTGTACAAGTGGAATTCATCAAACACAAAATTTTCCTCTACCATTTTGCAAATTATTCTCTATCATTCTCCATTCTCTTCATTTCTCCAAACCAATTCTCCACCATTTTGCAAGCGACCACATAGATTTTTAGTTATTTATTAAAGAATATTGGTGCATTATCGCGCACAATCAGCTGCATAACGTATTGTCGACCACACTGTATATCTGTTAAGTAAAAAAAAAATCGTATATATAAAAATCGTCACGTTCTCTTCCGCGTATTTTGACTGGAAAGTTACGACAAATGTTGTTTCGTTTAGTCGAAATATGGGACATGTCGCCGTACGACATCAAGTACATCAAGTGCAACGTCAACCAAACTGGTTTCTATCGAGTTAATTACACGGAAGACATGTGGGCCGAGATCATTAACACTTTGCTCAATAATCACACCATGTTCAGCCCTGCGGATCGGGCAAATCTTATCGATGACGCTTTCACGCTTAACGAGGCGGGTATGCTGGACATCGCGATCCCATTGAATCTCTCATCTTATCTTATCCACGAGAGAGACTACGTGCCATGGCATACCGCGCAGGAGTTTCTACATTCTTGGAGGAAGAAGCTGTACGAGCATACCGTGTATAAGAAGTTCACTTTATTCTTCAGATATCTGTTGCGGCCAGTCATAAAATACGTCGGTTGGGGCAACGATGGACCTCATATGAAAAAGTCAGTATGACATTTTCGAGTACACCTCGCTTGCGTCCAGAACAATTGTTAGATATTCGATGGCTAAGAACGTGATTTCAAGTGTTGTCTTGTTATTTCAACGCAGATTTCTAAGAAATTCGGTAATGAAATCCGCTGTCATCCTAGGAATGGATAATGAATTGCAGCCCGCGAAAAGTCTCTTTGACAAATGGATGGATACGGGCGCGCCTATCCCGCCCGATATACGAGATGTTGTTTACGCGACAGGTAAAAACTGACACGTCATATACCACTTAATAATTTAATTTCCCCAAATACCGCATTACGATGGTATTTGTAGGTATCAAATACGGCGGCGAGGAAGCGTGGTTTCGTTGCTGGGAGACTTATCAGAAGACAGAAGTGTCCAGTGAGAGACAAATACTATTGCAAGCCTTGGGCGTGACAACGGATACCTGGCTGCTTCAACGTTACCTTCTGCTGTCGCTGAACCAAGATCTAATCAGGGCACAAGACATCGGGACCGTCGTATGGTCTGTCGCCTCCAATGAAAACGGCCGTCATCTCGCTTGGCGCCACATTAAAGCCTATTGGCCGAATATCCAGATCCTATTCGGAAACGTGTCTGTCGCGATGAGCAGTCTGATAACAGACGTTGTCCCTTTCTTCAACACGGAATACGATTATCGCGAGGTGAGAAAAAGATATTATTTAAAAATCAATTATGTGTCAGCGTTTCGTTGAAATAACGTAGCGATGATTTCTTTACGGTCGTTTCTCAAATTTTCCTTTTTGTACAGATCTCGGAATTCTTCAAACATGTCGAAGTCGGCAGCGGTATGCGCACCTTGAAACAGAGCTTAGAAAAGATCAAGTCCAACATACACTGGGTAAAGCACAACGGAGACTGCATAGACACAGTAATCAACAACATTCCGCGCACTCCGCAGAATAACGACGAGAATAGCACGATAGTGAGCTGAAGCGTGCATTCAGTCGTCACGGCGCTACGGTTATTTTTTCTACAGTTTTTATTCATACGCGATACACTCTGGAAGGATACATGATGCAGCCTACAAAGAAGAGTATCCAAGTCGAAATTTTGATTATACTTTCGACCTCGGTCATTTAATTTTTAACGCCTACTTGGGAACTTTAAAGCCTATATCAATTTCTTTTGATTTTATTTAACTTTATTAACTAATAAATTTAGATTTGTCGAAATATCTTCTTTAAAACTCACAAATTACATTTTCTACCATTTAAAGGCGCTAAGTAGCATCTCAGTTTCCATGTGTAATAAGTATATACTGATCCTTCAGAATATACAGATGTCAGAACGTCTAGGTCGAAAGTAGGTCTGAAATGTCGACTCGAGCAGGAAGAAAAGCGAAAGCTCCGACACATTAACTCAGGGGGCGAAAAAGGAATCTCATTCATCATCTAGATGTAAATTCGCTGATCAAAAGACATCTATTCCCGTCACTCCCGTTGGGAGACCGTCTCCGCCAGGCGAAGCGTAGACTTTAAAGGGCGACAATCCTTGAAAGAAGACAAATCGAATTCCCCGACAAGAGAAAGATACTTTCACTCTCTGTACAAAACTCATTATCATAGTTCGCTTGCCGGAAAGGGTCTCCCGACGCGCACGGACGAAAAGCCGAACTGTTTGTATGTAATACATTATACACCAATTTATACGCACTTTCGAAAGTATCTATTTATTTAATAAACGTGCACGCAGTGCGTGCCGGTCGGATCATTAAGTGTAAAGGGAGATAATGAGAGTAAACACATCGTTGTTCCTAGGGTAGTCGTTGACCCGACACGTTTGACAAGCGAGGCTAATGACACACGCCTATTGATCCTGAAAGCTTTAGTCTCCCGAGTACTTTATTACAACGAGGAACGACGATAATCATCTCCACGTGATATGTTCATGCCACATCCCTGAGCCATTCAGTAAACTGTTGTTTTCAAAGAAAGGATCGAGCGAGAAATTTGTCATGGAGGGGAGCGCGCTAATTATACTGTTCGGAAATATACGATTTGTGCGTGTATCATTTACGACAAGACATTGGTGGCATTTAGAGGTAAATATCTGTCGATCATGACAATTATAATATTAAAATGACAATGATATTACGTCATAATAACGATACATAGTGATAATGTCATTGTCATGATAATAATGTTAGCATGATCGTACGAGCGATCGTCCCGCAACCGGTGTCGGGTAAGATGTATTTGCGAATAACGAGCAGCGATCTCGAATATGCATTTGTAAATATCATATATTTTATATAGCTGTGTACGCGCTAATATAGGAAATTAGCATATATGATTACTAATCATTTACAAATGCATAAACTCTCTCTGTGATCAGACGAGGACACAACGGACAACTTCGCGTTGCTCGTGAACATTTTCCCCGACACTGTTCCACGAGTTTAAGTAGCATATCAATGTACGGCAAAGAGGCGTAACACGCTAAATTGTTCGGGTCTGTGCCTGTGTCTCACAAGCACCGTCCAGAGAGGAACGAAATAAGACGACGTTAGAGGACTCTTGGTCGCGAGGTCAGGTGGATTCGTACGTCAAATTAATTGTAAAAAAAAAGAAGAAAGCAAGGAAGGAAGGAAGAAAAGAGATCGATGTACCATGTGTGTGTCGTGTATTCGTGTTTGCTATAGATCGCTGAAGGCGCGGGATACGTCTCGTGTGGAGTTGATTGTTCTCCACGCGAAGTAGCATAAAAATAAAGAAAAGTGGATATTTTATTATGAGAAAGTAAATAAAATTTATATAACCTCTCGTGACGCTTTATATAGTGTGTACGTATTAACGTAAGAGAGACGTGTGCCGTATTTGTTCAAGTACTTTATAAAGGATCGCTGACGTCGATCGAAACATCGACGCTGAACTTATCTAGGACCTCGTGCCGCTTCCGAAACGTTGCGTTTAACCCAGAATGATATCGATTAATAATAACAATAATAATCGCGCGAGCTCTAAAAGCCACGAAGCGGGACGTGACAGCTGTGCGAATGTGATCGACACGTGAAGCAACTAAGTTCCCGTTACACTTTGGTACTAATCCGTTTATCGTTTCGCGATCAGTACAGTTAACCGCATGGACAATAAGCGCCCTAAGATGGTGAAATGTATTAACGAGTACTCATGACTATCACGTTAAGTGTATTGCGTTACATACGTTAGTTGTTTCAACGATTGTTTGAACTTCCTAAGATTAAGGCTTAGAAAATTAGGTGTTCGTCGTGTGCGAAACGACGCGACGCGCGCGTCTACGAAGACGGACACTTAAAACGATAAGTACCGTAGGATTAGGCGCGAAAGGTCTGCGAAGTGTGTCTAATAATTATACATATATAGAGAGACCAAAGCCAACTGCGAAACAAGTCTCTGCTCCAACTAACCAGAACAAAAGAAGAAAGAACGTCGAACTGTCCGCGAGCGTTCGTGTGTTTAGCTGCTATTTTTGTTTACAAATACTTCTCTTGCCACTGTCGAAACTCGGTGAACAGTGAACGTGCATCTTAGCGTTAAATTCGCATTTCCCCGTGAATATCCAGTTAAAAGTGAAGCACTCGTTAATTAAACAGAACACATTACGTCGCGTACGAACGCGTGAAACGCAGCGGTTCTTCGACATGTTCTTCGATATTTTCACGGGTCTCTACTGCCGTTTACGCTTGCCATTACCGATGCCCCTTAATGGTATAATCTCTGAAATATTTAACCTTATATCGTTAGCATCTCTCTCTCTCTCTCTCTCTCTCTCTCTCTCTCTCT